ATTTTTATAAATTGAAAAAAAAATCATTGTTTCATAGATTTATACCAAAAAGAGAAATAGGCTCACACAATCAAGGATAAATGACTTGGTGTATGTCAAATACAATCGAACATTGATTCAATGATTCAAGTTGCGTGATAAAATTGATCCAAGATGAGTTTGTATTCAAAGAGGATGAAGGTCTTACTTGGAGACACGTTGCGACTGTTGCTAGATTTCATGAAAAGCAATTTAATTTGAGATCAAGAGGGTGCTTCTTAAGCAAGGAGATGGAGAAGAAGATAAGGAATACGACGAAGGCTACCACTCACTTGATGGAGATGATATGGAGGAAAATTTGGCCGATGAAGGTTATATATGATGTCATATTATAATATATCCTTTTGATATTATTATATAACTAGCTTTGTCTATTTATAATATGAAAAAAAAAATCATATTGCATGATAAAATACTATGCCATATGTTTTTCGATTGAAAATTTAAAGGTAAATGAAATGAAAAGCTTTGTTGAACTTATAGTCCTTTTAAAGTACTAAATTTTCTTTCTTGTTTAGATGTTTAATGTGTATTTATATGTTTTCCTTAATTGATTCATGTTGAAGTTGAACATTTAAAGAATCTTATTCTTTATATCACCCAAAATTTTATTGAATGTAAATAATTTTGAAGTGATGTTTAATATATGATGGATACTATTTAGTGTTTATATTGTAAGATCCTTTTTTCTTGATTATACAATTGAAAAGAATCTATATATATATTTTTTTTTAAAGTGTGCCTCACTTTAATAAGGTGTGCACCTTGTGCCATGCGCCTCGGCTATAATACTCTTATTGTCTTGGTGCGCCTTGCGCCCTTTTTAACACTGGTCCCTAAATTTGGCAAAGGTTGCTCAGTAATACTGCTTAGTTGGCATTGGTGTGTTCAAAAAGCAAAATGGGTTGTAATTGTGTCCTCATGTTGTGTAGAGTTTTTAGATCGGCTTTGTAACACCCAAATTTTGAGCTAGTTGTTTCGGGTCTACCTGAGAGGTATGTGGACCTCATGGGGTTCATAATTAGAGTCGTTAGATCGAGTTGTAGTTTAATTGGGTTGGAATCGGACCCAAAGGTTATAAAAATAGGATTTTTGAATAAAAGGCAAAACATGAAGGACTAAATTAGTAATTATCCCATTGAAGAAAAACAAGGTTGATATTAGTGGTTTTATTTCATTTTGGGAGTGGGTTTTTGTTGGCTAAAAGCCTTCTCTTTGTCTTCTTCCTTTATCTTCTTCTTATTTTCCTCCAATCTCAATTGCTCTAGTGAAAGATAAAAAGTTTCCTTCTCCACTTTACTAGACTTGAAATCCATAGTTAGTCATTTTAAAGCCTTCTTTGTGATAAGAAAATCTTTTGGTTTATTGTTGGCCAAAGAAGTGGGTTCAGAGTGCTTAAATGCAAATGGATAAGAGAAAATAAGAGTGGTTGAAGAAAGGAGCTAATTTTAAGATTCTTTAAACAAGGTACTGCATTTCTAATCCTTTGTGGTGTTAAGGCTTTCATAAGCATGATAAATTGTTAAGATTTGAGTATTTGAGTATTTTAGGGTTTATACTATATTCATGCCACAAAAGACGTTTTTGTAGATTAGATTGTGTTTTTATAGTGCTAGATGATCCTAAGTAATTTCCCTAAGCTTTAACACATGATTTGGAACCAAACTAAGACCTTTATGTGTTTCCCAAGCTTAAATAAGGTAGTTCTGGGTTCGAGTATCGATATTGGATGAACAGTATGGATACTGGATGAACTGAGATGGATTATGGGTAGTTTTAGTAAAGAGTATCAATATTGTGGTAAGAGTACCAATACTATGAGTACCAATACTATAAGTACTGATATTGTGAGTGCCAATGTTGTTCTTGCAGTACCAATAATCTTTAACATCAAAAGATCTAAAACAACGTTCATTGTTTTTAATGTCAATAGATTTCTATGAATTGTACAACTAAGCTTGAAAAATTATCTTAATTTATGAAATGACTTAACTACCCTCTAGATGGGGTAATTTACCAAATTGTCCTTAATGAGAAATAAACTTCAAAAGTACCCTTAAAGGTGCATGCAGCGAATGATTGTGAATGACTGATCATTACAAGGAAGGTTAAAAAATGTGCCCATAAACACTCTTAGGAGTGGGTTATGACCGAAGTAACCATGTTAGGTGTGATATGTCCAAGTATCCTCATTTAATCATGTATTGAGTATTTAAGAATGAAAGATAGTTGTAGTGGATTTACCGACAAGCGGTATAATAAACTAATCATATCACGTAATAGAGGAGTCATATACTATGAGAACACTGATGAATTAAAGAGATGTACGATAAGAGTGACTAGAGTGTCGCTACTCAGTAATAAACCCAAGTCAGCCATCGGGCTAGCTAGTTAACAATAATCACAGTAATCGTCATAAAATCATGAACGCATAAAGACCTCTTTAAAGACAGAAATAAATAAAATACCCTTCAAGTGCTATTGTGCTAATGATCAGAATAAAGAAGCCCAATAAATTATAAAAAATAACATACCAATAAACCTTTGTATAAAATTTTAAATGAGAGAACGAGTGAAATAATTGTCACTGAGGGGTTGATCTCACTTTAGTATGTCGAGCTACACTAGTGTGTAGTTAGACTACCTCGGTTGCCCTAGTGAGGTATTGTTAGTGTTGTGTGTCCTTTGGGTCCATAGATATACATGTGTAGTTACATCAGTCCAGTACAACATATATTTAAAGCTTAGCTTGATAGCTATGTGGGATCGAGCCAATACTTTAATTGAATGAAAATTGTACCAATACCATGACACCAGGTTCTCTTCCATAATCTACTTAATGGCTATGTGAGACCAATAGATCATTCAGCATCTTACTGGGAATTTAACTGATGCTAGTGACACCGAGTTCCTCAGTTAACTAGTGTCTAATACCTTGTAAGACCAGATACTAGCAGTGTGTTACATTTAGATAATGCACAATAGAGTTAGTGTTGCATTCAGATAATACACAGTAGTGTCAGTATTGTATTCAGATAATGCACAATAGTGTTAGTGTTGTATTTAGACTACGTACAACAGTTATAGTCAGTGTGAGTAGAGTACCAAGGTATACTCATGAGGCCCTTAGCAGAGGATTAAAGGAAGAGTGAGACTCCTACTTTATAGAATAGTTGAACCTTAAGTAGGTAGCACTTGATTATGATCATGCATACTTACTTCTTAGTACCATGTCTTTAGCACGCATATGTTTATGGAACTCATAATGCTGATCTAGATTAGCGATTATACTATTAGGCTTTGTAAGCTCAGTGTTCGGATGTTTTCCATTCCTAAGTTATTAGCTTGAGTCGTTCGAGGAGCACCTTTGCAGCAGGACTTCCAGGATCTCTTCCAGAGTACTATATTGTAGCTTTAGTGGGCATACGTATTCATAGACCCTTATATTGTATTCAGATTTATAACTCTGAGTTTGTACTATTTTGACAAGTTATGTGTCACGGAGCTCTAGTTTATAAAATATTTCTAGAACTATCATGCATGTCTATTTTGATATCATATTGTATGTTTCGAAAAGAAAATGAACATGTTTTGAAAATCAAGGGTCGCCTTGGTAGCCTAATGTGATACTTTAGGTCCATTCGGTTTAGGGTGTTATAGGCTTGGTGCATCATGGGTGGGTACTCTGGTTGAGCAAGCAAGTATCAAATCTGTAGGTTAAACCGTTTGGATTATGGTGTCTCGAGGCAGATTGTAGAGATATAGTGTTGTAGGGTCTCGAGGCAGATTGTAGAGTATAGTGTTGTAGGGTGGTTGTTTTTGGTTTGTCCTCCTTGGTGGTTTGTTGAACTATGTTTTGATATAACAATTTAAAGTAAAATGGTTTTTGGACTTGAATTGAATTTACAAATGTTTTTGGACTTAATTGAATTTATTCGTTCCGACCCCTCTTTGCAAACCGTTCCGGTTGTCAAATCGAACTTCCAAAAATCCCAACATGGTTCTTTTTGTTCTATTAGTAGAGTGAGCATTTTGGAGTAAAGGTCCTTTGTGGCTAATGTATTAAGTTATTTCTCGTATATGAAATATTAAATTAACATTGACTTAAGGAACTCTTTTTCCTCTACTTAAGATTAGAGAGGTTTTTTAATGAGCCTTAGTCTTTGTTTGGTATGTTTATGCTCTTGAATACAATATAAACTTCTCCTTCCAAAAAAAAAGGTCTGGTAGCCATTGTCATGTTAAATATTCTGTAAATTAGGGTTTCGACAATATATGGTATGATTTACCTTTTCCTTTATTTTTGAATTATTTTGTTTTTAAGTAAATTACAAAAAGAAAGAAAAGAGGGTGATAAGATGAAGCTCTTGGTGTAAGATTTGAAAAAGTGATGGTTTGGAAAGAGAAATGAGTTTAGTAAAAATTTGAGACTCGTCGATTATGTTTACTGTAGTCCACAATGGTTAAAATTTGAATAAATGAAAAAATTGATAGGATAAAAAAAAGAGAAAATGAAATAGGAAACGAAAAAAATGGAGAAATAAGTTTATATGAATCCAAAATGATGTTGTTTTGGTGTAAATTTAACTTTTCTAAATAAATATTATTTTGATCTTGTCTTTTATATCATCACACCATTAATTATTCAACGATGGAGTAATCAACAGAAACAATTTAAAAACCAGTGATTAAATTAAAAAGTTCTATTTCATTGACCAAAATTTAAATGAGATAAAGTTTAATAATGAAATTTATAATTTACTGATATATTTATCATCATTATTGATATATTTTGTCGATATAAATATTGATTCTATAAATTGAAAGGACACTCTATATATGTATACGTATATAGATTCCTGATAACAAAGAATCCTTGTTTTCCTAGGAGTGAAGCACGAAAGATTGTACTATATGAATTAATATTTCAGAATGCAGTCTACCAATGCAAAAGTTCCAGTTGAAGTTTAGCGGTTACATTTGAAAGAATTCAGGCCATACAACATGCAGACATCTTCCATGGACATTAATTGATTTCATTGCACCTGCAGGACAGACCTATGATATTAAATTGAGGGAGAAAACAATTTTTCAATAAAAAAAATAAAAATATCTTAATTATATGAGAATTTCAAACCATCCCACCATGCAAACATTATCTTCCACCTGTAACTGATATTTCTAATATATACATTAATGGACACCATTTGGAATGATTTCTGAACATCAAAATGAGGTCTCAATATTGCCTTTAAGATGGATTCACGCCGAAGTCGACAACGAAAAATCGCATGACTTCTACCCAGATCTTTGCAGACAGGGCTAACATTTGAGGATCCAACAATTATAACTACTAAATCTTCAACCAAGCAAGCACTTATAGCATAATTAAATCGAGACGAGCCCTCGACATCAGGCACAAATAATTCTTTTGTTTTCTATATTCTCCAAAAAATCAATTCCATGCATAAGCTTTTCAAAGTTCGCTTACTTGTTTTGAAGCCTTGAAACCATGTCTGAGGGTTCATCATTTGGTACACAAACCAAATTCTACTTGGATGTTGAAACTTATCAAACCCGAATGGCTCTTTGATACGAGCTGCACGACTGAAACGAATAAACATTAATAGGATACCAGAAGAATATATTGCATGACATTGGCACGCAAACTAATTATTGGAGCAAAAGCAGTGAAGTAAAACAAAGCAAACATTGAAAATTTAAACCATTTGATACTCAGTAGCTCTTTCATATGGTTCGGATATTTGGAGGATCGTACCCTAATACCGAAAATGTGTAAGACGAAATTATGATGTGACTAAAGAAAATGCAACGAAAAATGAAAAATTAGAACAGTTTCGTGTTTCTTAAAATTAACAATTACCTTGCATTCAAGACTTCAAAAAGGATGCGGAAGCTTTAACCCAATAGAACTGTTAAGGCCACCAAAGTAGAATACTCGTGCGGAAGCGTAATCACCACGGGGCTACACTTAGCCACCTAGAGAGGCAACGAACATAAAGAGAATAAAAAACAAATCAGAACAACTGAAAGGAGACAATAGAACTTAGAGCAAATACTTCAAAGCTTTTATTTACTGTTCTCTCAAAGTGAGAGTAGAAGAATGATTCCGAATGATACAAATGAGGAGGAGAGGCTCTCTATTTATAGTTGAGCTCCCTCACAATCAATGGTTGTGATTAATTTACATCAACGGCTAAGACTCTTACCATATCTAAGGGAACTCAATCCCATCCTACCTAATTACGTCAATTAGTAGGAATCTTTCCTTCGATAAGCGTTCACACTGGATATAGTAAGAATCTTCCACAATCTCTATTGATTTATTGTCTTGCCATAATTACCGAGCTCCCATGATTATCTTCACTTTCCACGTTCATCTTCACTTTCCATGTTTGTACGGCCAATGTGAATGGGCTATCTAGCATTCTCCAAGTGATGGACCAAGTCTGGTGGTCTTGACAAGCCCGATTCCCCAAATCCAACTTCTTTAGTAGACTCATGCATCAATATCTCGGACCTTATTGCGTTGCCCGTGACATTAATATTGCATGTGCAATCAAGAACATCATATAAATAGAACTATATGCTTAAATAACCAATAAAGGAAGCTTTTTGATAACTTAGATTTCCGAAGACGATTTAGATTTTTAAAATTAGCACAAGCAACGATAAAACGTGTATACTTGCAACTTTTATGATTATTTCTCAAATTAAATTCATGGACTTAACATAAACCTAAAAGCAAATAGATAAATTCATATTCCAGAAACTAGCATATGAATTGCAGAAGAGAAAAGTGATTTTACAGTTACTTACCATGCAATCAACATTATATTCCACTCAACAGTGTTGAGTGTAATGATAAGACAAGTTACAATCTCAAGGTTCAAACATTTGATTTCAAGTGTTAAATAATTGCATGAAATGATCAACTCAAACCAAACCATTAACTAACTAATTCACTATTTACCATTTAAAGTTCTGTTAGTTGCCTTAACTAACCGTTCATTTCGATCTTTAAGTAATTAACCACAAACAACAGAGGTGTTGATAAAAATCGAAATCCAAAAAAAGCTTTTCCGGAAATTTGAATCAATAAATCAAACAAACTAAGGAAGCGATATATATATAAGAAGCAATATATTATGAAGTGTATCAAAGATCAAACACTTGGGATGCAAGAATGGATTGCATGTAATCTTAGAGTTTGAAAATTGTTGATTTCATGCGATATTAACTCCTTTAACTCAACAACAATGCCCCAAAAAATGACACTGGAGATGCAAGAAATGATGAAGACATGGATACAAAACAGTAATGGAAGCACATCAAGTGTCAAAATATAGGCCAAAAGCAGTAAAACCAAGTCAATTCCTACCATAGACAGATGCATGTAATGTCCATTGTACTATATTGCAATTGCTGTTACGGTACGAACAACCGGCATTACGACACAATTTATTTTCTAAACGTAACTATGTTTCTAAATTGCAGATGCAGTTAACCTCGAAAAACGTTATGATGCTGTATTTATATTGTATTGCGGCTGCAATTTAGTACACTACGGTCATGTCAGCACTTCAAGAAAAAAAAAAAAAAAGATTTGCCTTACAAAAATAATACCTAAACTCAAATGACTGCATCAAGGATGAGATTAGACGCCCTGTCCCAAGGCCAAATCTGCAGACGCAACAAAAACTGGAGAAAGAGTAGGGTTAAACTAAACACACGAGTATAGAACTCCATTTTTCCAGTTTAGAGATTCCAAGCAAACAGATAATTAGAACAAACTTCTTTGTATTGAATATGATCGAATGTGCAGGAAACAGAAAGAAAAAAGGGTTTGTAGAGGGGAGAAAGAAGGTAAGGACCATACTAGGCTTAGCTATAGTAAATTAGTAATTAATAGGCTACGGATAACGTGAATGGTCCCATGCTAATTCATGGCTTTTGCCCCTTAAACCGCACAGCTTTATAAGTATTCCTAAATTTCTAATATAGCTTCTAAGTTTATACATCTAACATAAAATCATATATATCGATCCTTGAATAAGGGTTTGAAAACATAAACCGAAAGCAATATGTAGGTACAAGAGGCGGAATCAAATTCCAGCACCGGAAACAGACAGAAAGATAAGTGAGCACACAAAAGTAAGAGTATAGGCTCATACAAGTGCCTTTGTGTGCTCACTCTCTTCTGTCAATTTTCCATGTCCCAGGAGTGAGAGAAGATGACGATGATGATGAAGAAAAGCAAAACACAAACAACGAAGACCAGAGAATGAAAGGTGAAGCTTTTCCATATGAGGAAACAAATGAACAAAAAAATTATGGAAAACAAAACTAATGGAATGAATGGAGTCAGATCTGAAAACACAGTAACACTCCCCATTTATGGAAAACGGTACCAAAAGTTAATGACCTCAAAATCAACGATCCATGCCGTTTTCAGCAAAGAATGCCACTACAGGCAGAGACTTATATAACGAGTGCTATCAGAATAGAGGTTAAAGATATCGTTCGAAACTTGCAATAAACACAAAGCAGCAGCTGTAGTTCATAACTGATTTTAGGGCTTTTTTGTTTCTTACAATCCTAAAACTAAACCCAAAACTTTGCAAGAAATGAAAATCAAAGAAATCACCGAAGAAACAAAGTAGAAGAAACCCTTCTCTCATCATCATCATCATCATCATCATCATCATCCACTAGGCTCTATGGTCCACTTATCTCTCTCTAACATGCAGAAGGCACAGATGTCGGTGACAAAACCAAGTGGCACAGACAGAACAACAGTCCAAATCAAACAGTAATGTCGATGGAGATAACATCAACAGCTAAAACTCAAATCTAGATCCAACATATATGTAATAAATATATAAAAATGTAAATGCAACGCTACGATGATAAAGAAGAGTGACAGGCTAACATATCATAAACAAATACTCTCCTAGTCTACCACTCCATACATACATACATACATATATATATATATATATATAGGGTAAACTACTTATTGGTAACTCACCTATTACTTAATTTCTATTTTAATAATTTATTTTTTTAAATCATACTTCATATTGTGATTTTATTTTATTTTAATCATTTATCGTTAAAATATTAAAAAAATATTTATGTACTTTTTTTTAAAGTATTTTTCAATGCTAATGTGATATTATTTTATGATAACATGACAATATCACTGTTAATATTTTTGTTATCTATCGTTAAAAATTGAAAGTGATGTTGATGTGGTGTTTTTTAATATTATTGTGATATTATTTTATGGTGACATATCAACATCATTGTTAATTTTTAATAATATATGATCAAAATAAAATTAAAATATTATGTTTAATATGATTTTTAAAAAATAATATTTTTTAATTAAGCTAAGGCGATTATAAAGTAGTTTATGTTCTAAATATACTCAATCATTTGATAATGAACGCTTAATCACCATGATACAGTTATTAGTGCTCGAATTCATAACCTTTAAGAATAACAACGATTCGTTTAGTCACTGAGATAAGTTGATTCGTGCTAAAAAATAATATTAAGATAATTAACACTCAATCACCCTATCACAGTCATTAATACTCAAATTTATAATCTTTAAGAATAATAACGACTCATTTAGTAACTTAAATAAGTTAATTCGTGTTAAAAGAAAATGGTATATTAAGAATTGGCTTTATATCATGATTTGATGTCGCTTTTTGGGGAAGAGAAAGAGTAAGCTCCGTGGGGAGAGCATATGCATGGGATACTTATTGGGATGGTTTGAGATTGATATTAGGTTACGTGTGGAGCCCTAATGGTTTGTGACTTATTGGTGGGAAACGAATACAGTCCGTTGATAGAAAAGGGGATGTGGGGGACCAGACCACGTCTTGATTGGAAATTGGGATAGAAAAGGGGATGTTGGGGACCAGACCACGTCTTGCTTGGTAATGCGTCATTCGGGGAGACAAGTTTACACTTCTCATGAATATGAAATTTTAAAATTAAAATCGTTAACATTAAATTAAAAAATAGAAAAATCATTTGTTAAAAAAATAGTAAAAATTGATTGTAATTAGAAATTTTATCAATTATGTGATTCTTTTAAATTGTACAATATGATATTTCGATTGTAATCAAAAATATTATTTTTTAACATATTTTGTTGCAACTGAAAATATTATTTTTTTCATAATAATTTCAGTTATAAGCCTTAAATCCCTCATAATATAATTTTTTTTTGTTACAACCTGGAATATTATAAATTTATATAATTTTTAGGTTAAATATGATAATATTTTAGGTTAAATCATCTTAAATTAATTTTAAATTAAACTACCACACAATAAAATTATCCTGAATATCAACTTAACTCGTCACTAGAAATTACATATGGGTACAATTTCGTGGATTATGCATCGTACCCGCTCCAATTAGGGTGGGGATAGATATAAATTTAGTGGATAATGGGTGGGTGTGGATGTAAAAAGACATACTCGTAGTGGGTAGATGATGGATTTGAGACATTACCAGCTTCGCATCCGCCCGCCTCACATTTTCCCACCCACTAATTTCTCATTATATAAATTGTAGACCATTATATTTAAGTATAATTTCAGAGACTAATTTATAAATCTTAAAATTTTATTATAAATCTTAAAATTTTATAGGATATAACTTATAATTTAACCAAATGTTAGGGTATAAATTATTTTAAAGTTAATTTTCAATCTTTAGAATCATTTTTTCTTTATTAGACTAGTGATTGTCACCTCTGTTCGTGCTTTTCTTTATATCGTTGTCTTCTCTTGTAAGTTTTCCTTCAACCATTCTCTTGTATGTTTTGCTTCTTAATGGACGCGTTTGTTTTATGTTTTATTGCTTATGTATTTTCTAAGGTTGTTGTCAAGTGGGTACAGGTAAGTACGAGATGAGTGGTATGTATTTAGTTGGGTAATGAACGTGGGATGAGTTTAAAAAATTTACCCATAGTTGATGGTGGGTATGAAAATATTAGGTGGATAGAGATAGGGAAGGTATTGCACCCCATCCTGCCGTTTGTCATCCCTACTCGTCATTCGTTTAATCCAATAAAAAAATTAATCATTATTAGAAATAATAATATCCTAAACTTATATATTTAGATTTAGAGTAATTATTACAAAAATAATCAATTATATCAGAAAGGCTTAAAATGTAATTTTTAATTTTTTGAATGTTTCATATATACCCCCAAACTATTATTTTCATTCTAAATCAGTCCTTAAAATTTTAAATGTTTCTCAAACAATTATAAACAATTTTGTCAATATCATTGTAGTAACCGTCTTTCGCCCGGAGGGGGGAAAAGACCGATACCGACTCGGGGGTTTCTCTTTGAAAATCGTTTTGAAAGGTGAAGGAGTCGCCACCAATCATTTATGGTGAGATTGAAACACCATAAAAACCATGATTTTAATAAAACATTTTATTTTTTATCAAAATACCGAGTTTGAAGGTCTGCGAAAATCCAGAAATCAGGTTCGGGAGTCGGTTACGCGTGGGGAAGGATTAACACCCCCACAAGCGCCCAAAAATTGGTACCTAGTTGATTATCCTATATTTAAAATCAGAAATTTGGAATTTGATATTTATTTAATTTAAAAATCATTAGGATGCAAAATTAAAAAGGGTATTCGTTTATCGAGACCGATAGCATTCGCCCCCGAGGGAGATCAGCTATTGTGCCTATAACCGAATATTGCCTCATTTTAGAAAACATGATGTGGTTTTGAAAAGGCGACTTATTTAGGGAATTACCAGTAGTCACCCCCTGAGCACGATCGGGGAGATATACTTAATTCATTAATAAGTGAACATTGCCTTAGAATTGTAAAAACAATGCAATCAAACAAAATTTTATTTGTCTTAATTAAACTAAAAATAAATTAATGTCTTTTCTAACTTAGAGTGTCAAATTATGAAAATTAAAGAACCTAGGAGTTCATATTTAAAATATAAGTTCTAGTATTAATACTTAATGCTATATATTAAAATGGATTAAATATTCACGTATTAGAAAGTTTCTCTTGATAATTTTAAAATAATCGAATATTACATTAATCCAATTATTACGTCAAATTATACATATGAGGCTAACATACATATAACAAATAAATTACACCTAAACCTATGCGTATGAACAACATACTTAAAATAACTATTTACACACATAAGTATCATAAAGATTCAAATATGGTTAGTAGGCCCTCAAAGCAAACCTAAACTATATTTACATACATGCGTCTAAAAAAACTTAAACGACTAAACATAAATAGAACGAATTCAATGGTCATATCATGAATAAAGTAATAACAGATAGCAAAAAAATCAAATTTCAGACCTTGCAAACGTAACATTACCAAAGAAATACGAAGGATTAAAATAAAATAATAAAAGATTGCATATCAAATGTAAAAAAAAACTGTAAATTTAAATAACCTAACAAATGACTAAAATAAAAGCGTATAAACTACGAAGACAAAATTAAAGGCTCAGAAATATCCATTTCAGGAACTAAAATACAACAATTGAAGAATATAAAGGAGCTTACTAAAAATTTCACTTTTTCCTAAAATACGGGATCTCATCCATCGAAATGTTGTTGTTTAGTACTTTAAGATATATATTTTTTTATGTAATTCTCGTTCAATTTCCCATCTTTCTTCTAAAAGCTTCCCTTCGCAGTTTCTCTCCTTCCTCAGCTACCCATCTTCCTTACTCTCATGCAGCACTACTCATTCCTAAAAGACCCCAGAACAACGGCGTTGCTTCCATTTCGATGGCCATCGGAGATTTAAATGTCCAAGTAAACTTCAATTCCTCCCATAAAAGCAATAAATCGAAACCCAAATCCCTCGAAACTTCGGCTCGGTTTGAACTCTGGTCACCACTAAATCGGTATATCCTTAAACTTACGCCACATCTTTCCTTCCACTCTAAATCAAAACCCTAAAGAATCCAACAATCTTTTATCAATCATGAAAGCCCTAGAAGAAGCTCCGACTTACAAGCTTCCCTCCACGGTATTCATCTATGACTCCGACTGAGATCTAATGGGAATACCCGACCCAAAGGTAAACTCAATCGACCCTCTCCTTTATTCTGTTTATTTCGAGTATGGAGAAAATAAGTTGTTACCCTCTTCTTCTTTTTTAGAAACCCCCTAATGAACTGCATAATTCGGTGAGACTCTTCTCTAAGGTAAACGCTTCCTTATATCTATTTCTATTCTATTTACTCAAGTAATTGCATGCAAGAAAATTGAATATCAAAAATAAACAAACCTTCTGAAAAATAAGTATTCTTTGTTTTTTCTTTTCGAAAATGGATAGAACCTTTACATTGATTACTTCGGTTCAAACAAAAAATTTAGATAGGGAAGACCCTTTTACAAATCTCTGTTTTTTCCTTATGCGTTTGTGATCTCTCCTTTTATTGCCGAGAGCTTCCCTCTTTCCTTAATTGCTTCTTTTTTCCATCATATGATGCCCCCTGCCTTGAATTTGCTGATGGATTAGGTAGGAGTAGGTGAGAATTTGATTTGGGGTAGACAAAATCTTGTATATGATTTGCTTTTGACCTGCTTTTAGGTGGATAATTTGGTTATTGTCTGCAGGTGCTCTTTGACGCAGGCGATGACAACCTTCGATGGCTTGGTGGTGGTTTCTTCAATCGATGGCTCCATTTGGTTCCAGTGGGTCATTTTCGGGTCGAGTCTGGTTCGGGTCTGGGCTCCAAATGGATCGGGTTAAATTAATTTTTTTTGTATTTAGGGCCCGATTAAGCTTGGATTTGTAAAGCCTGCGATAAATAAAAATAAATAGTATTAATAATATTAATAATATAATAATAAAAATGAGACGAAAAACAAGTTTACAATCCTTTATATAATGACAAATTTTCATTTACTATAAAAATTACTTCAAATCCCTAAATAAGAAACTCCATTTTCTTTTCTTCTTTTTTTAAATCAAGCAATGTATTTCACTGATTTTACGCTGAAGTGCCGTTACAAAGGGGTCTTTTCAGGTACTCCTTACAGCATAGAGCTAGTACGGGCTGATGTAAGTACAACCGTCCCGATTGACCAATCATATTAATTTTCTGCTAAGGGTATAACTGTCTTATCACTCAGATACTCCCATGATTCGCTATATGCAATTGCTTCTTTGAGGGGTTTTTTTTAAATTGGGTAAATTACACATTTAATATCTAAGTTATTGCTTTTTTGTTATGTTTTAATGCTCAAATTTTTTTTCTTTAAAATCATACTAATGTTAATTTAGATTTTAATATGTAACTCAATATTAAAAGTTAATAGAATTAACAATGTTGCACTTTTCTATCTTTTTCAATGGAATATATTATCATGAAACCTAAATTAAATTAGGTATAAGTTTGAAAGAAAATAAAGTTTAGGTGTCAAAATAAAATAAAATAATAATTAATTATAAATGTGTATTTTACACTTTTATTAGGGTTACAAAACTAATTAATTTCACTGAAAACTTTATAAGTTTAGATTTGTGATTATTTGAATTATATTAACTTATTATTCAAATTTATTAAAATAAGTATTTATATTTTTGAAAACTTTAAATTTGGTAAAAGGGTACTCATGACCCTGTATTTTTCTAAAAAAAACAATGTGGCCTTCTAATTTTCTGCACTAAATGCAACCCTTGAACTTGGAAAATGAACTCATTGTGGTATTTACCAACGGTTTCCGTCGCTGACCGTTACATGTTGATGTGGCACTTCACGGTGCTGACGTAACAGTCCACGAATAGGTACTCAACATGAAAAAAAATTAATTAGGTACCAAATTGTTTTTTTTCAAGTTCGAGTACCAAATTAATTTTAAAAAAGTTGAAGGGCTTATTTAATTTTTAAAAAAAATAATTAGGTACACGAACATGAAAAAAAAATTACCCATTGTCACATCATTATCCATCGGATGTTACGTCAGCACCGAGAAATGTCATCAATATCGTAACGATCAGTGTCGAAACCGTTGATCAAAGGCCCACGTTGGGTTTTTTCTCCAAATTCGAGGGACATCGAGACTTGAGAGTAGAAAATTTCAAATGCAACATTGATTTTTTTTTTGTTGAAAAGTACAGGGTCGTCAAATATCATTTTGCTTTTCAATTTTAAATAGATGTTTTCTTAATTAATCCAGGATACTTTTTGACCTTGTCGTAATATTTTTTAGTCACACTGTTTTATCATAATAGACAGGTTATAAACTAACAATGGTATTTTTTTTTTGTAACTTCAAGGACGGTTTCATAAATTAAGTCTTCAAAAGGTCAAACGGGGGAAAAATGACAACTTTTGAGTGTCGAATAGGTATTAACCCTTATTTATATACAATGAAGTTAGATTCAAAGGATAATGTGCTGACAATCTTTTTTTAAAAGATGAAATATCAGCTTTGGCTTCAACCTGTCGTCGCTTCATGGATTCATTGAAATACGGTTTAGTGGGCGGGGACCGTTGTACCATGCCCCATTTCTTTCAATAAAGGATTCATTTCAATATATTATCAGTATATTTCATGTTGACAGTGCAAAGAATTTTCTTAATATTTATGGTTAGAGTTATAGCTTATTCTTTATGTTAAAAATCATTAATGGTTTTCTAATTCCTGGTTCAAAATGACATGGACACTTGTGGATCCAGCCGAAAGAAAATATGTGCTTTCTTTACTGCCTAACTTGTGGTTGAAATTGAGTATGACACTTTCCAGAAAAGTGCATGTTCTGTACTTGTTTTCTGGTAGGAAATTTAGGGATTGAATTTTTTGGTTTTAGATTAAGAGTTCAAATCAATCTCTTTTAGCATGTAAAATTTAGGGTGTGGACTACGGGTGTTTAAAAATATCTGACCCGGTTGACCCGATCTAATGACCCAAATTAAAAAAACCGAGTATTTCTATAAAAAAATATCCGATCGGGCTGGGTACTCATCTAGACATTTTTGAGTCGGGCCCGAATCACAAAATTTACATTTTCTGGGTACCCGGTTCCGAAATTTTCTATAAAAAAATATCCGATCGGGCTGGGTACTCATCTAGACATTTTTGAGTCGGGCCCGAATCACAAAATTTACATTTTCTGGGTACCCGGTTACCCGAATTTCCAATTACATTTATTTTATGTGTATATTATATTTATTTTTTATATATATTATAATATTACATATTTAATTATTAATAATTATATATTAAATTAAACTAAAAATTAAAAAAAACCCACCCAATAGTTTATGTTTTAATTAATATAATATTTTTTAATAATATAAGTTTTAATTTTTTTAAAAAAATAATAATTTGAAAACGATAAAAAATCGAATATCTGATTATCAAAATTACGGGTACCATAAATCATCAAATACCCAAAAACCTGAATACCCAAAACTTCGAATACTTGAAAATCGAGTACCTGAATTTGAAAGTCCCAGTGGAATAGGTCTGAACTCGTAACATTGACACCAATGTACTTGTCTTTTTTGACACTAAACTGGGGAAAAGTACACTAACAGCCAATGCCGTATATCTCTAAGGCTTAATATAAAAAAACTCAAAATTAAAATTTTATTTTTAAAAAAATTTCGTTAAAATAATATTTAATATTTATTCATTATACTTTTTGATATCTATTGTTAAAAAAATATTAAGTAAAACATGTCAGATTTAGATTTTTTTTAAAAAATATATATTTTTAAATAATATTTATTTTAAAAAATAAAAAATATAAACATAACACATATCACTTAACAAATTTTTAATTGTAGACACCTAACATGTAACAAAAAAAATTAATAACAAAAAAACCTTAAATCTTTATACACCAAAAGTCAAGTATAGATATTTTTGATACATTACTAAATTTCAACAATTCTAATTATTTAAATTATTCTGAAATTCGTAACTCGGTTTTCATATTCATATTGATTTTACAGCAAAATGTTTGAGATATTTTGTTATACTAGAACTGGCACAACTATGATGTCGAAGTTAAAATAGTAAAATAGTATATGGTACAACTGCATTTTTGGTTCCTCCAAAATGATGAAATGATTATTTAACCCTAAAAAGAAGAGTTAGAAAGCAAAATATGCAGGCCATGTTGCAATAATTTAGGATTAAAAGGCCAACCCATTGTTTGTATCCTAATGTGCACCTTAAAACAACATGAATTTCGTTTAGCCATAAAGCCTAAGCCTAAAAACGAAGTCCATACCAAATGCATGGGTAGCTGTTAACTGTAACTGTGATATAAATTGCAAGCCGCAAGCTTAAAAACTAAGTCCATACCAAATGCATGGACACCTGTGATGGCAGCATCTCGACGTTTAAGAAGGTGACAACATCCGAGTTCCACATCGGACAATAACCGGCCTTTGTTCCAGCTAGGACTCTGGTGTTGAAGTGGCTTTTGCTTCTTCTCGTCGCTTTTTTACAGACTTCGGATCAGTTCCTGTCCTTTCGATGATGAACTTGGGGCTTTCCGCTTTAAAGCTTCCACAACCTCAGCTGAATCAGCCGAGTTTCTTTCATGCTCGTGCTTTCTTTCACCTTTGATGAACCGGATTTCGACTTACCACCACCATTTGCATCCGATTTACCACCACTTTTAAGAGGATTACCCTTGGAATTGGAGGAAACTGTGGGGGCTTCCTGCTTGTCTTGGCTGTCTTTGCAGTGTCTTGCTTCGGCTTTGTGGTAGCTTCCGGTGTGACAACATCAGCAACCTTGGGTTCGGTACACTTGGGCGTGTCAACATCCTTGGGTGTGTCAACACTGTCCTCATTTTTGGATTTGCTGCCCACTTTTGAAGTAACGTCGACTGGTCTACTACCACTTTCAGGGGTATGATCCTCGGCTTTGGTAACATTGTCTGATTTGTCGAATTTCTTGGAGCCATCCACTTTAGTACCATCTTCCTTTATTTTTCTACCAGACCTCATGGCAGCACCCTTGGATTTGCCAGACGAAGCACCTCCACCCCTGGACATCCAATTCTGCGTTATTCAGAAATCAGGAAAGAATCGTAGCAAAGATTTCGTTTGAAAGAATTCAATAACCTTTTTGGCGAAGCATCCATCTTGGCTTTCTTTCTCGGCTGATCATCAGCTTTCGCTTTCTTTTGAGAGCTGTTAATGGAAACGGAAACGAGGGGGAAAAAGATAAGGCCACAGAAGATCGGACAGGAATAGACCAGGAACGGACAAGCAAACGCAAAGCTAGTACCAATATATTAATCCCTAAACGGCTAAACCTAAGGTAAAACTCTAGCTTCAAATAGAATTAGGATTGCTATAGATCGGAAGATGTATCGACAAAACTGCACAAAAAAAACAAGCAGAGTTTCATGATGCAAGGCCAAAATACATAATGACACCATCTAGAGTAGAACCATGATTGTGGTTCAATTAACTTTAGCAATCAAGAATCACAACAGGAACTTACATTTCAGACAAACCATCAGAACTCGGTCGATCTGCTGCAACCTCCTGTTCAATAAAATTATTAGCAATCTAGAGCACAAATCAAATAAAAGCTAGTCACATATATTTAAGAGGGAAAACCGCGGGTAACACATCAGGAAAAGAAAATCATGTAAGGAGGCTTTTATCTTAATTGATGTGCCAAACCTTATGCTTCTTTTTAGTAGGATCAAATGACTGAATACACCGTCATAGAATCTGCAAAACAGTAACACCCATAAGGGTGAAAGAACTGAACTTTTAATCACGAGTAAGAAATGTACATTACTTATGTTCCTTGACTAAAGTCGAGCCAAAGACTTAATAAATCTTGATAAAGCATGACGTGATCAGAATTCATTAACCCTCCAGGAAAACCTCGAGACAAGTACAAATAAATAACCATGTGGCACTTAAGACGTCATCATTCAAATAATCCAATAATTTACTTTTTTCCCTAAGCATCCAACATAAAACCAATTGGTAGTAAGTGAAGAGGGCCAATTGAAATATAAGACAATAAGAAACCTAGTTCTTATCATTGTGGGGTAATACTACTCACCTCGAGTATAGCTCAACAAGTGTCTACACATGGACAATCTCAGAAATAATACCATTTAATACTCCCATCGAGTATAGCTCAACAAGAGTCTACACATGGACAACCTCACTTGAGATTAGTTAGGAACAACAGAACACACTTCGACCTTGATACCATGTTTAATCATTCAACCTAAACCAAATGGTAGTAAGTAGAGAAGCTCAACTCGAATAAGAAGAGAAGAAATCCAATCCTTGATTGACGAGGGATCCCACCCAACACTTTCTATTTTGTACTTATTAGCAAAAACTTAATAGGAAAGTTATGCCATTTTGCTAGCAGAAAAATAGGTTTAGTTTCATACCATTCATAAGAGAGGGGGAGAGGGGTGCGGGGGTTGGATGGTTGGTGTCTGATCTTGGTTTTCATGTTTTTTGAGGTGATCTGCTTTCAAGAGTTTACTGAATAAGATTAGGAAAGGCACCTGTGATTAACATTGAATCACAGACCACTGCTGGCTTCTATGTCAATTGTCCGTTGTTTCATCATGAGAGGTTTTATTATCTTCATACTCTAGCCTTTTTATTACACACTCGAATCTTACATCGCACCACATATTTGAAAGAGAGCACTTTCCATTAGTCATTTTGTTTTCCTTGGACCAAATGTAAGTTTTTGAGTGTCAGGACATGGTAATAGGAGGTTATAAATTGGTATGGGAAAGACATTCATACACATAAGAGAAAAGATCAAACGAATAATATTTCATGGTTTTTTTTTATATAATCATGGTTTCTATTTTTATAGTATCACTTCGGTAATACTTGCAAAATAAAGGATGTAAATACAGAAATATATATACTTACGCATGGTCTTTAGGCCACCAGACCTTCACCTTCAAGCCAACCAGATTCTCACCATATTCTAAGGTATCAGATCCCTGACAACGAATCAAAATGAAATCTAAATCATTTGTTTCCAGAAAAAGGACATGCGATATCATTGCTTCAACTATGTTCAGATTGCAGTTTGTATGAATAGAATCAAACAAAAGGTTTACGATTAGTCATATAAAATTATTTGAGCCTCCATTTCCTTCATGTGAGATAAAAGGGACTTGCTATGATCTCAAGAAACAGCAAAGAAAATATAGAAGTTAGCTGAAACGAAACATAAAATTAGAACACAAAGGCAACCTCAACAGTCTTATAGCTACAGACACTTACTTTTTCTTTACTTGGGGTATGCTTTCTCTTGGAATTTGTCTTAGAGGTCTCTTCCATGTGAGAATCAAGTTTGTTTGATTTCACTGCCTTTGGAGAACCAACCATTTCCTAAATAAGCGATAAGGCAACAATTATTCCCTTTATTGAAGTATCCAGAACAGATAAAATGTAAATAATAAAGCTTTGAATAAACAACTTAAAAGAGAAAAATTAAGCACCTCATCCTTGTTCAGAACCGCAGAAGCAACCTTTTTCCCTGGTCGTTTATTTGTTTGCTTCTGAATCGATTGGCACTTCAGTTGACTTCTTAGAGACATTGTCAACAGAAGGTGTGATCTTGCTCAAGCCATCTTTCTTTTGTGGCCGAGCAACCTTGATTGAATGGCACCCATCATGTACAGCCCCACTTGGGGCTGGGGAAGCAACATCATTGGGTTCATCCGTAGTTATTTTTGTCAGGGAAGGATGAACATCCGTCTCTCTTCTATTTTCCGTGGATACAGCCCCATCAACAGAAGGATCCTCACAAGATGGATGAGCATCATCCTCGCAGTCATCTTTCTGGTCGGCTAAGGTCTCAACTTCCTTACCATCAGTGCTGTCAGAAGGTTCTGTTGATTTGAATGAGATTTCCCCCCTTTTTCATCGGTACTTTTTTCTAACTTAGAATCTGAAATGACCACTTTCTCAACTTCCAATCCATCAGGTTCAGCAACAGTTGATGTATCAACATTCTCAGACTTATTGGCAAGGCAGACATCCTCTTGCTTCTGTAAGGAGTTTGAATCAGGTAATGAATTGTTTTCATCAGTTTGAATAATGCCATTGCTAACAACTGAAATTGGAGATTTTTCATTTGCATGATCAACTTGTTCAGTTAAAACGGACTCTTTAGGAATCTCCTCCTGTATGCGATTAGAGGATTTATAAATGATGAATTTCCAGTATCAAATTCTAATAACAAGAGTAGAATACAATTGAAAAAAAGGAAGCACTTTAATCCACACACACACACACACACTCATAGAACATTGAAGACTGACAATAAATATAAGAAACATGCCTGAACTGCATTGTCCAAAGGTGCTTCCGCTGGTTTGCTCTCAACATCCTACAGCAAATTAACCCCAAAAAAGAAAGAAAACATTAACGTTACTAATTCTACTCTATGTTCGCCAAAGAAGGCATAAGAGAGATCAGTGAGGTGTCTTAGTGTCTTAGCACAAGACAAGCTTTTGAAGGATGTCTTGAACAAAAGAACTGAAAATGTAAATTAAAAAAGGAACAATAACCAAAATTAAATAAAAAATCTAAACCTTATATAATCAAATAGTGCCTATTCTATCTGCAAACAATAGTGTATAGACATACAAAACCAGAGAGAAAAAATGAATGACTAAGCGAATTGTCATAAAACAAAAAGAATTTATGGAATTATACTCAGGTGCAAATGAGATAATTACCACACACTTGTCAGTAGCATCATCATCATTCTGCACCACAGCATTGGGTACCACTTGGCATATAGAAGCTACTACACCACTATAATCTTCGTAAGCAATTCCCAAGTTCTCTACAGCTTGTGTTAGGTAAGGTTTCAGTTTTGATGCACAGTTTTCAAGCACACTCTTCGCCAACTTCCGAGCAATAGGAAGAACTTCCTGAGAGGAAATAGATGCGCTGCATGAACTAAACAAGATTGTAGAAGAGAACAGATAGAAAGTGATTCATATGGTAACAGACCTCATTATCTCTTTTTACCCTAGCTAAGATTGGGGAGAGAAGCTCCATAGAGATGTCTTCACTTTCTTCCAACACAAGCGTCATAATCGTCAACATTGATGTAAAGACAGTATCTGCATGATAATCTCTGAAAAGCAAACAAAAAGAATCACAAGGAAAACAATGGTTCAGAATGCATACACAGGATAGCATACTAAACCACTTCTTTATTCTCTTTTATATTAGCAATCTACTCCAATAAAGAAGCCTTATAGAAGGATGAATATAACAGGATGACAAAAACTTTTTATATTAGATAATGCAATAGTCATCTTGTGGAAAACTAAAGCCTACAAATCACACAGAACTTGTAAGGCTGGAAATAATGGCCAAAGATTTATGACGAAGAACGAATGCGAACAAGAGAATGCATCTCTCCAATATGGACTTAGTATGTACCTTATTGCATTAAGGAAATGCTGGAACATCTCAATGATTAAAGCATCACACTCAAGATCCAACATCACCACACACGATCTGACTTTTGCAACAGTTTCAAGAATTGAGGTCCTCTTAGTATGTGAGCGGCTGGACTTGTCAGCTAAATTTTCGAATGATGATACAATCAGTCGAAAGATCTCCTACACACACATTAAGAAGAATCATTACTTCCAGTGCAGAAAATGGGTTTTAATAGATCATGAAATATGCAAGAGCGTCCAGAAAAAAAAAATTAAAAGTACCCTCATTTGGTCATCGTTATAAGGAGCATCTGGTGCAGTTATCCTTGTTCTCACTGATGCAAGCAGCAACTGCAACTTTGACATCAGCATCAGGATGTCTGAAAGCTGCTCTCCAATCAATGCTTTAAGTGAAGGAGAAAGTGCATTTTGCATTGATTGGCTTGCTTGTTCCACCCTTGACAGAAAACTCTCGACTTGCTATATTAGCAGAGGGTAGAAAGAGAAAACAATCACCAACCAATGTAAAAAGTAGAAAAACAAGCATAAAGCAAAGCCCAAGGAATAATACCATGCCAAAAAAAAAATCAGATAATCCCAGCTTCATTAGGAACCAATCAAAATTACTCATACAGAATACAATTCTCGAAAGAAACAGATTTAATACATAATACAACCAACAGTAGGGTACAGTAACCAGAACAAAAGAAACAATATTGCCCCAGTCAAAATGTCAAATAGGGAGAAGAAAAAGGAAAACTACTTGAAACCATTCTAGTTCAACTTGACTGTAAACCAAAGACAATTTAAAGTATCCAACACCCCAATCATCACTCGTTTCTATTGCAGTCACATATACAATAAACAAGTTGTAAACCCTAATAAACAATGAGTCTAATGAGATAGCTTAAAAGAGAAGCAGATCCCAAACAAACAATTTACCTGGAAAAATTATTAAAAGTTGCCTGAAAACATCTCACTACAATATCTTTTCACATCCACTTCAAATTCTTCTTGACATCATGTATACACATAATTTAGTACCAACTAACATCTATATCTTGTGCAACAAAAACATAATTTCACATGCTGAAAGAATTTTTCCTTACTAGAAATGTTTTCAAACATCTACACAAGCTTTCCAAAAGTCATTAAAAACTTTACCTCACCTATTAGAAGTTAATTGCCAAAATGATTTAGTGCTTAATTAACTAAAGAAAAAAAATCAAAGGACACACTATTCATTATACCAGTTCCTCATATTTTATAAAATAAAATCCTGATATGTGACTCCCTTTCGTGGGAATCATGACCGTTACACTGCATATAGACAAAAATATGTGCACGTGTAAATTCACTCACTTAAATGGAGCACGTGCGATTACCTTTAGGAATAAAGACCAGTAACTTGCATATTGACAAAAAAGAACATACTTGTAGATACTCACATAACGGCAGTTCGTGTGTTTCCCTTTAGGAAGAATGAAAACTGTTAGGCCACATATAACAAAAAAGTGAGCACGTGTAGATACACACCGACTTAAATGCACCTTGTGTGATTCTCTTTAGGAGAAATCAAGACCATGAAGCCATATATTGGCAAGTGCACTTGTAAATACAAACTTACTTAAATGCAGTTCACATGATTCCCTTTAGGAGGAATCAAGACCGTTTCGCCGTATATTGACAAAAACACGTGCACTTGAAGATACACACTCAGTTAAATGCAGCTTGAGAGATTCCCTTTCAGAAGAATCAAGACTGTTAGGCCGCATATAGGGAAAAAAAACTGTGCATGTGTAGTTAAATGCTCACTTCAATGCCATTTGCGCACATTTTTTTAATTTGACAGAATTTCAAAACATCAAACCATTTCCTTTAGGAGGAACCAAGGCCGTTACGTTGTACATTGACAAAAACGCGAGCACTTGTAGATACAAACTCACTTAAATGCAACTTGTGAGATTCCCGTTAGGAAGAATCAAGACCGTTAAGCTACATATAGACAAAAAATCTTGCGAAAGCCGTTTGCGCGCATTTTTAAATTTGAAAGGATTTCAAAACGTCAAACCATTTTAGCCAAATATTTGCTAATGCATGGCATTTGCACTCAAATACAAGAAACATTCTAGCATTGAAACTATTATACATATCAGATATTTGCTAATGTAGAGCAAAATTATTATACATATCAGATATTGACAAATTCAAATTCATAGCATATCTTTAAAAAAAAGATACAAGTTGGAAACATTTAAGAGTGGAAAACAGAACCCACGGGCAGAAGCAGAACTGAACACCATTTAGAAATCACTTTGAACTTATTCAAGATTCCAACAGTAACGGCAGAAACATAATTAAACACATGAATAAACAAAACAAAGAAAAAACATTTAGGACAAAGGAAAACGTAGATCACGAAGAGGCAAATGCAGCTTACTTCAATATCAGAAAACCAAAATTATTCACTAAAAAGAAAATGAAACCGTCATGCACGGCATAAAAAACAAAGAAACGAAATCATGTGTGAAAGAGTAAAAAGAAGACGCTAGGGCTTACATCGATGAGAGTGATGAGTTCATCAACTGACGAGGGAGGTTCAAGGAGTCTGTTCCCGGTCTCCATTAACAGCAGCTCCAGCTCTTTATCAGATGAAGACATGGCTATTCTTCTTTCCAATAACAAAACTATGTATGCACCTGAATACACAGAAACAAATACAGTTTAAAATCAGAGTCCAAAAGTCACCATTTCACACCGTTAAAAAAGCACACAACTCACCTTGAAAGAAAAACACAAATCGAAACCAAAACAGGCAAATTCAGGCAGAAAGCAAATGAGATTTACTGGAGATTAAGTTAGGGTTTTGGGGGTTTTTTCCTGGGAAGCGAAGTGATACAGTGAATGAATAGAACTTTCGAACAGGATACTGACATAAAAAATGAAATTTTTTTAATTTAAAAAAATGCTTATTTTTTGCTGTTGGTTTTTCGGCAATTTAAAGGGGGGGAGAGAATCCAGCGAGCTGGTGCTCGGATTCCACCTCGCTTTTATAAAGTGGAGTTAATTACAGCTTCAAATCCACCCTTGGATTTTCGGGGCTTTTTTACCCCACTGACACCGTTTGTTTTTATTTTTACTTTTCTAACACCGTTCCACCAATATTTCCAAAACTAGCACCCTTTCTGCTGAGTTGGCAAAGGCGCGTCCCCGGGGGCGCGCTTTACCCGGTTTTTTTCGCTGAGTTGGATGCCACGTGTGAAAGGCGCGTCCCCGGGGACGCGCCTTTGCCAACTCAGCAGACACGTATTTTGTTTATAATAAATAGTTTATTTTTATTATTATTATAAATTAATAATATATTATGTAAATGTTTCGATTATAATGTAAGAATTATCAAGTTTCGAGTATTTTTGATTTTGATTATCGATCTATTAATTTTATCAGTTAATTATTTAAATGTTATCAATCTAGTCATCTCATATCAATAAACGAAAATATTGATGCATAAGTTAATAAATTAGTATAATTACGTATTTAATCTTCAAGACTTACATATTTTAAAATTAGTCTTATTGAAAATTTAATTTAATAAATTTAATCCTCCAATCAGAACATGAAATGTGTCATCGTATACATAAATTTTTTAATAACTTTTAAAGTGGAGGGCTCGGAATGTAACCCTGCGGAGATGGCATATAAACTGGTGGGCTTGGCATATGAAGTGGAGGGCTGGGCATGTACCCCTGCGGCATCGACGAATAAGGATGTTGTGGTGGGACTGATGCAGAACCGGTAGCGCCTTCTCTCCGTCCACGCGTCGGGGACGATGATATTGAGACGGTTGACGTCTTTCTCGCGCCTAGGAATGTTAACCCCTCGTGCTTCCGCCGAAAGTAGAAACGGCTTCCCATTTTCATTAAACCAGTCCATATAGTTATCCGAACCATATGACCAGTTTCAGTAATATTGTCGAGGGCCAACAGTGTATATCGGTTCTCCCAAAGCGCAATCCAATCTCTGTGTCTCACCACCCAGTTAACATCTTTCTTTCCCCCTCTATCTATGTTATGCACGTCGTCTAAATTCTAGGAGCTCCAGGAATATATTGCGTACAACCATACTGACGGAGCACGCGATCAACTGGATGCCACTCAATAATAGCATAACATATAAGAGGTATAACCGATATCCATACCTCTAATGACCCTCTAAGGTGGGGTGGGATGCAAGCTTTCACTTCATCGCTCGCATAAGGTATCCACTGAAACTGAAATATAAATATACAATTCAATAAATAAAATATTCTAATTATATCTAACATTTTAAATTAAAATATTAATAATTAAACAAATTTAAAACATACCTCAGACCCAGCTTTCGTATCAATAAGTAAACGAATTTCCTCTAAAACAGTAGGTATACTTTTATGGTCCTTTCTTTTCATCGACCACCTATGAAATATAATATAAACTAAATCACCCTATTTAATTGAAAATATTTAAATCAAATTTAGTTCGAAAATTACCTCAACAATAAGGGGAATACGTATGGTTCATTCACGATCGGCATAAGAAAGGCATGCGGAACCACGCCCATGATTGTAGAGCAGAAGACATCCACCGATAGCAGTTTTCTTATAATTCGTCGCCCGACACATTTCTCTAAAGAAAATGCCAAAACTGCAGCACCCCAACTATATCTTCCAGCTTCATCAAAATCGATCAGATGCCGCAACCACATACAATGCACCTGGTTGCGAGATTTGTCGGGCATCATATTCCCCAATTATTCGTAGAATATATGCCCGAGCACATGCCTTTGCTTGATCCTCTGAACATTTTCATTTAAAACCTCAAAATAGCTTTCAACCAAGATAAGCTATTCTACCTCCATTAAACTCTGGCGGAGCAGCTCCAAGATAATCAATGCACATTGATTGCCAATCACCATCCGCCATACCACACATCATATTTCCGTCGACGGGAAGCCCCAGATGCATAGAGACATCCTCCAATGTAATTGTTGCCTCTCCACATGGAAGGTGAAAAGTGTGTGTCTCGGGCCTCCACCTCTCAATCAGTGCAGAAATTAGGACAGGTTCGAGTTTGCAACCGCCTATAATTGTTGCAATATACCCGAACCCAGCAGAAGCCAAATATGGCAAAATACGTTCCGGTGTCGGTATACGTGGATTTTTAATAAAAGTTTCTAAAATACGATCAGCATCCTAAATAATATATATATAAAAAGTAAAAATTAATATAAATTCATAATAACTTTAAAATAAAAAAAATTTAAATATTAACATTAATTATAAAAAATATACATATCGCTAAAATGTCTGGAGATATGATCAATATCCAATCGCAACAGCATTCGTTTTCCATTATAACTGTAGACAAACAATATAATTAGCAAAAAAAATTAATAATTCTAAATAAATATTAATTATATAAATATTATTTTAATAAAAAAATATATTTACATAATATTTAATATAAAAAATAATAACTATTTAAAAAAATACTAACATCAAAATAAATTTCTTACCACTAATAACAAATTTAAACTCAAATAGTTGGAGAATTTGAGTTATATAAGAGGAGAAGATGATTTGGTGTGAAGATGAGTGAGGGTTGAGGGGTTTATATAGGGGAGGAGAGGGGTAGTTAGGAAAAACGGATGGGGCATTTATGACATTTATGGAAGGCGCGTCCCGGGATGCGCCTTCCACACGTGTCTGCTGATATGGCAAAGGCGCGTCCCCGGGGACGCGCCTTTCACACGTGGCATCCAACTCAGCGAAACACGGGTAAAGCGCGTCCCCGGGGACGCGCCTTTGCCAACTCAGCAGAAAGGGTGCTAGTTTTGGAAATATTGGTCGAACGGTGTTAGAAAAGTAAAAATAAAAATAAACGGTGTCAGTGGGGTAAAAAAGCCGATTTTCGGTATGTGGGGACCAACTGGCATTTCCTTGGCTACTGATATTCTTTTCTTTCTCTGGAAAGACTGTAACGGCTAATATACAACTAAGCAATGTCACGTAAGATACACCATTATTTACCAATACAGATAAGAGTTTTTAATTTTGAGTCATAATTTAAATTTACAGATAAATTTTATTAAATGGATTATATATATAGATTATTATATACGTAAAAATTTAATATAGATTCAAATATATATATTGATAATTTAGAGTATGTGCAAATCAGTATCTGTTCAAATATAATTTTTAATCATTTAACATTAGATATTCATATATCTAACATTTCTTATGTTCGAACCGAAAATCTCAAAAATAAACAATTATTTTACTATTCATGTCGTCTGATTGTGTTGTTCAATAATATATTTAATTGCTTATTTTAGTTTTAATTGTGCACGTTAAAGAACAATACTATATATATATAAACCGAACTATTTATAAAAGTGTTTTTATGAAAGAAAAATGAAAGAAAAAAAAAAGTAAAGTATACAAATGATTCCATGCGATGTAGTTTTATTAATTTTCTCAATTACTAAAAATTATGAATGATTGTTAACTCCTCTGATTATTAAAAATTATAAAATGATCAATGAACTATTATATGTTTTAAACTCATTTTTTTTTATTAAAAAATTAGTTATAGTTAGAGCTAAACGTCAACATGGTGATTGATAAGAAAAAAAATATTTTAATGATGCATACTAGCATGTCGTTGTTTTCAACATTGACTCAACGACATAATATTTCAAACATAACTCGATGTCAGAATGTAAACGAAGATTCAACTCACAAAATACAACTCAAACAATTATAAAATTAGATTTCATATTTTAGTCAACAATTTAATGTCCATCTCAAACGTCCATCAATTTTTTAACAGAAAATAACGAGTTTGACACATATAAATAGTCAATTATTATTTTATAACTTTGAATAGTCGAAGAACTCAACAAAACAACGCTCTATACTCAAAAGATCATTTTTTATTTTTTAATAATTAAATGATTCAATAAAACAATACTCCATAACGATGAATCAATATATTACACCAAAAAATAATATTCAATTATGACAATCGTATCCTAATTATTACAATCAACATTCAAAAGAGAGAATAGCATGCTAATCAAAATCAATTTTCTCATCTAATTTTCTCTCATTGATACGTTGTTCATCATTTTTCTTTCATCGTTATTAATTAACGGAGACATCAACTTTAAAGTTTGTTGTCGATCGTCAGTATTCATTGTTGTCCTTTTATTTTTTCATATCACATAGTTATTTTTTATTTTTTAATTTCAATAAGTTATCTTATGACACATTTCTTCTTCCTTTTGGCATGTTTCTCGATCGTTTTTTTTAATTTCAATAAAGTTATCTTTATGACACATTTCTTCTTCCTTTTGGCATGTTTCTCGATCGTTTGATCGTTGCTTTCACTTATGTTTTTTAAGAGTTTATTTGAAATCGTCACGATTAATCAAGACGATGCTTATCTATTATATTGATCTTCCATGCTTTGGACCCTCAAATTGGATTTGGATACCTGATATGTATTCGTGGATAGCTTTTCATGTCGCTCGAGTCTGATTTACAGTTTGTCAGTGATCTTTCTATAGCTTGATTTTATTCTATTGTTCGTTTGTCGATGCGATTAGATCTATTTGTATCTATTTTTGCTTGAATTTTTTGATTATGTTTTAATCTTTTCTTACATGGTCCTAATGTGATCTTAAGTTGCTAGTTTTATTTCAATTGTTCTAAGAAATTATCCTAATTATATACTTAATTTATGATTATAATTATAAATTTTCATTATAATTTAAGATATTTTTATTTTGAATAAAATTAATATTTTTTTATAAATTAAAAAAACATAACATTTTTATTGTCTATGGAAAGCGTAATATCTGAAAGAAAAATTTTA